TATTAGAGGAAAGTAAAAGAAGTACAAACACAAACATACTAAATAAAAATCTACGAAAAGTGGTACAACAACCAATATAAATAATAAGTAAACACTATTACTAGCTATAACCGTACAAAGGGACTGCAGCCAATTCACCCAACTATTGGTTGATCTAGAATCAGTAGAACGGTGGTCCCTTACAGATGGCCCTTCCATCTCTGAACTTGGTTCAAATTAAGAACGACGTTATAGTTTTAACCGTGACTGGTGCAACGTCCCTTAGAAGAATAACACATCCAGAATTCTCATTTATGATAATAAATTTTAGGTGACTGCTAAAGCGATTATGTTATATTATGTTATTTTTAGACTAGATTATATTCTGCATGTGCCGGGGGATGTTGTGACCTAACTATCGAAAGCCCTCGTTGGAGCCGTTTGTTGGGAAGTGAGATCTTCCGGGCATCTGGCTTAATTGGGATTCTAATGACCCAGCATCATAACGGGGTAGGTGAACTCCCTTGAAGTAAGTCAGCAATCGGGGTTGAGTTTTTGAATAGTCAAGGTTAGCATGTCGATCTGACTGTAATTTAAATAAATTCTATAAAAGGAAAACATTTATAAACAGCCAGAAATCTATTTTATTCAGAAAAAAAAAGATGAAATTGTTGATTTGTCTTTCCGGTTATAGTCGGCTCATTTCTCCTTTTCCCGTTATAAATTAATCGTTGGCCATAACTGGAATGAGATCTAATTTCTCTCTCCTCGAGCAAGGTAGAAAAGGGAAGAAATTCAACCGCGGCCGCAGTCGGAAAATGCTTATTTTCATCGACGAACAACCACCGAGGTGCGGAGGGTGCTCGCGGTTCATTTAGGCCAACACCCCAGGGCGTTAATTGCACGCACGAGCTCCGCGGAGAATGCCCTGGCCGATGACTTTTTTTTCGAGAGAAAACCGGCGAAACCTCGACCCACTGAGATGTGGAGATGGTCGACAGTGGCGGCTACTGTTCGTTGTGGCATAATTCCTGGGGGACGATTAATACACGTTAATCGAGTCATCTCGATGGCAGTTTCACGGCCCGTTTAACCGGTCTAACCTATTTCGATCCTCGACTTTTTTGATCGATGTCTATCCTCGAATGGTCATGATCCATTTTTCCAGGAGAAGATGAAGGCGGACACGTGATTTAGGATTAGACACAGTAACCGAGACCCACGCAAAGAAGTTGGGATGCTTTTAATATAACTTTATCTTATCCTAACTAAACGTATACGTTATAAATTGTACGAGTTCTCTTTGAGGTCTGCAGGTGATGAAGTTGAAGTTTGACGTCTACGATCATCTTACATCTTCCGCGATGGGTTTGTCCAAAATAATACACTGACTCGTCACTGAAACTTTCCAAAAGCCGAAACGCGTCTGACAGACCAAACTAAAGAAAATAGGCAGACCATGTGACGGTATACCAGAAAGGTAAGCCTCAAGCAATCGAATACTTCTCAAGACTAATTATTTGTGTTACACTGACGGCTCAAAAACTTACAGTAGCAGTCCTGCAAATAAATGCAAAGACTGAACTGTCTAAACCAAGCTATATAGCAATGTGTTTTCCGTCAGAAACGGTAACAACTGAACACTGTGCCATATTAAATGGCTTGGATTTCAAAGAAAGTATCACCTCTGATCATCAGGCAGCCCTTAAAAGCTTTAACATCGTGCAAGATGGAATGAAAATGTCTCTGGAGTTGCATGGAATCCTTGGCGGAACTCAAGGACAATTCAGACCCTAGCCTGGGTTCCCGGGTACTCTGGGCACTGTGTAAATAGCAGGTTAACAGCCAGTATGAATACCTTCGGCCCAGTTGCTATTTGCCGCAAAAAGTGACACAAGACATCCTTAATGTGTATGTATCAACAAGCGAATTGAGGTAACTGAAATGAACAATAAAAGATTCCCGTAGGACTCCTGACTGGATAGTCATATTTGAAGGCATATGTACCGATAGAAGCTCTGACAGAAGTAAGGTGCAGATTTTTGCATAGAAGAGGAGACAAAGGACATTCTGAGTGTTTATCCAGGAGAAGGTTTCTGCTTCTAGGCGAGGCGAAACCTCAACTGTCTCTTTCACAAAAGAACCACTAGCGAGGCTGTGGACCCTGATTAACAGCATAAAGCTGACTAGAAAAACTTGTCTAAATTAGATATTTTATCATTCATTTTTAGCCAATATGTATTTTCCAAAATCTCACAGGTCACACAAATTTTATTTATCGAATATTCTCAAGGATTTTAGTGGATTGACCACGATTCAAAGTGCTATTTGTGTACCGTCCATATTCGTCGCGAAGTCGGAATGCGCGGTGTACTTCGCGCTGATGAAGTTTACGATCCTGCTCCGGCCGAGAACGGGAGATCATTCCGGATGGGGAATGTTAATTTCTAATTACTACGGGATGAAATTCCAGAGACCTTTCTCATAAAGCCCCCTCTTCAACATACTCAACTGACAGGAAGCCGCCCGTATACAGTTTTTTCTTTATCCCAGCTGGGAAAAAATGCACCCTTCCCTTTCGGCCCGAACCAGCGACTCCACAAAACGCCTTTCAACGATAACAGGATAAAATCGAAAATTAATTCACCGTCAATGAATTCATTTTTACGAAATATCAGGACTTGCATGAAAAAAATTAACACAGACAATAAATAAAACAATATGATTTTAAGTTTGAATGTACTAGTATCAAAACTAAGTACTCAAATAAAATCGAGTGACGAAGTGGTTTGGGTGTACAGAAAGATTTTGTGAAATTTCTGATATGTCCTTTTTAAAAAGATAGTTCCTACTTACAGTAAGTTCTTTGCAACGATCCGGATTTCGAGCCTTTTAGTTCATCAGGTTGAAGGACTTGTACAACCAGATAATGAGCTAAAAGGCTCGAAATCCGGATCGTTGCAAAAAACGGATTGTTTTTAAAAAGGATTGTTGGACACCACACTCACTCCATCATTTATCATTTCTATTCCTGATATGTTCTTGCAAGGTCTTGGAGGTCAGTGTGAATGGTTTATTGGAGACGTAGGAGAGGACATTTTTCTTAAGATTTTGGATTTGATAGACTGGATACGGGATGAATTGGAATGTTTGGTTGAGCCCCAAACTTCCGTTCCGTAAGTTCATATCGGAAGGAGTGAGAGTTTTTTTAAATTATTCAGATATCGTGAGATGCGGTCGGGTGTGATGTAGGTTTCAGAAAAACATTTTCTTTATCGTGCCAACGTTTCGATCTTTTATTGAGATCATCTTCAGGGCCTGGGATTTACAAACAATGTTTACATTTGACAAATACATTTAGGATGTGGATAAGTGAATTTATACAATGCAAAATATATTTTATATTCAAACAAAGTATTTCTACTCACTCAAAGTGTTTGTCTTCTGTGTAATTGTGCCATCCTTGTGTGTCGTGTTGAGAGTGCCAGTGAGATTTTGCTGTTTCATGTTTATATATGTTTGGTTTTGAGGAGGTGGGGAAGGAAGTCGGTATATAAAAGACAATTTTGTGCAAGGCGTCGGCTCCTTTGAAGTGAAAAAAGCCGACAAAGGGGAACAATGTGTTGGTAATAGTTCGGCCAGATTATTCTTTCAGGATTATATAGAAAGGGGATAAATAGGAAAAGGAAGCTAAATTGTTGGAAAATGTAACCAATTAACAAATGTATTTGTCAAATGTAAACATTGTTTGTAAATCCCAGGCCCTGAAGATGATCTCAATAAAAGATCGAAACGTTGGCACGATAAAGAAAATGTTTTTCTGAAACCTACATCACACCCGACCGCATCTCACGATATCTGAATAACTATCGATTAACGGTCACTAATCTCTACACGTTTTTTTAAATGGTCAGTGTTTATTAAGGTTTAGGCAAGATCGATGGTCGAGTAGATCAGGGAGTTTGTTACTGCGGTTCATGTCTGTTCAGGTGAGTGTGTGGACTCCACGACGTCTTCCATCAGTGTACGGACCCAGGTATCGTACTATGACAGAATCAGTGTCAGTATGAGTCGTACTGGAGGGAAAAAGTTTCTTAGTGCGAAAGTGACATTAGAATTCGTTCACATTCTCCATTTACGGTACCATTCTTCCTATAGTGTGAGATGACTGCGGATAGGAGCCGTGCTGTCGGAAAACGTGTGTTTGGGGAAGTAGAAGGCAGTGTATATCGTAAACTGGATCGGGCTAAGGATACTTCCTTGGGTGATTCCAGTGGTTACCGGAGGAAAGGGATGTTCAACGACAGACACGGCAATATCGGCCTGTCAGGTAGCATCGGAGGAATAAGTTAGAAGGTTGGGAAGAATCTTCTTGAGTTCCGACAGTAAATAGACAATGGGTGCCGTACAGGGTCGAAAGCTTGTACACAATTTAACGTATATTTTAAAAACGTTCTGAATTTTGATACATAGGTTATCCGTTTTTCTTCTAAAAATCGTAACTCCTCGATGGAATGAGTACGAAAATCCGTATGCCATTTCCGGTCTACTGTCAGCCAATGGTTTATTTTGCACCTCACAGCGAACTACATAGTTTACGTTGAAGGTTTTCCGGGTCATGACAAAAAAAAATATATTAGTACCATCTCAACCAAAACGGCCAAATTTAAAAATGAACAGGAATAGAAAATGTCTTATCAAAAGTCACATACGAACCGAAAATGTCAAAAGTGTTACGGAAATTACATAAAACATACAACGACCCATGGCGTCAGTTGAAAATGATTGTAATCAAAATGAACGACCCAAAAATAAATTGAGAGATCGATTATGTTTTTGACAAAAGGCCTCTAGCCAATTATTTACCTTTGTGTTTTGGTTTTGTTTTTAAACATTGAACGGAATTTCGTACAAAGCCGTTGATTTATGTGCAAATTGATGTAGTTATCGAGACAAGGGATTTGTACGGAGAAGGTGGACCCGTCTAATGATTATTATAGGGTGCTCCCTGTGATTCTTACCTGCATGTAAAGGTGGCCGTTTGTCTTAACCCCGGTTCTCTGCCTGCTTTCTGTGTTCAGAGTGCCCTGGGAGTCCCTCAAACCCGTCCCAGGCATTTTCTTCACTGGAGAATCTAAAAAAAAATAATAATAATAATCAAGATAGGTTAGCGCGAGGCATGTCATAATCAATAAAGTAAAAATTTAAAAACAAAATTTAGATTAAAAATGAACCTAAATTTAAGGGAAGGCTAAAAAAAATATATACTATATCTAACGTTTTCACGAAAACATATAATCGATATGGCTCCAAATGATCTAAGAACATTTAGTTATTAGATTAAAATATTTTTCTTTAGGCCTTGTGTTAAATTTTTTTAAAATAAAAACGTTTATATACAGCGTGATTTACTACTCGCGCGACGAAGTTCGCCAGGTGCTTTTACACGTCAAATCCAACAAAAAAGTTCGTGGTCCAATTGTTAACCCTTTCAACATTTTATGGTTTTTTTAAGGAAATTTAAAAAAAAAAAATTGAAAAGAGCGTTAAATTTCCTTCAAGAAGGCCCCCCTTATATAACTTTCAGTTTAATTTTTGCCAAAAAAACAAACACTATATCTTTCAACAATTGTTAAATTTAAAATTTTTATAAAGATAATAAATTTGCAACCTCGTTGGAAAAATTCATGGTAGCGTGTCAAATTTCATAACAACCTCTTCGTATAATAAGCTTTCTAACGGTATACATTTTTCTTTAATTACATCAATTAAATTTATCCATTACCAAAATGCAGAAATTTTAAGCTTAATGAGAAAAAAATGGTGAAGGTGTGAAAAATGTTAAATGGGGTTGATCCAGTAATTCAACTTTTTCTCCTGGCCAAACTTTTTCCCCAACATTAACTTAATAGAAAAAGCACAGAACGAAATAAAAATGAAACAAAACATAAAAATAGGACAATAAACATAGGGAACAATCAAAGCAGAAAAATTGGACAAAACATCTACACTAAACACAGACAAAACAAAACAACAAAGAACAACAATACGCAAGTTGTAAAGCCCAACATAATAAAAAAAATCACAAAAAGAAAGAAAAATTCACCGTAAAAATCAAACAAACATAAAAAAGTGACAATAAACATAGTGAACATCCAAAGGAGAAAAATTATTATGTTGAATTTTTTTCCAGAAATGAAATAGTTCTGGAAATGGCGCAGGTGCCCAAACAGAGAAAACTATATCTTATTTCTTATTCTATCTTTATTTTTTATTTTAAAAAAGTACTAACTAAAAAAATCTTCATCTATAAATTGAAAAAAATAAGGTCAACAACAACGAAAAAAAGAATAATAATTTATTTATTTATTAATTTTGTCATTTTCTTTATAATCCTCAACAAGGCTATGAACCTAACTGGCTATGGTCTGTGAGCGCGAGGATAGGCCAGACCAAGATTACCATATATGTCCAAACCAAGACTCAAGAATAAATCTGACTACTAATAATTTTGAGTTTGGAAACGGGCAATGGACGAGAAATTTATTTAAAATTCTAACATTGATTGAGTAAACTTTGGGATTTTGAGTAGATTTAAAAAAATAAATGAATTTTAAGCAATCGCTAAAAAAATTGAAAAAAATCAACTAATCCAAAGTGAGGCGTATGCAATTCTTATTGGACTTCGGGGATTTTTGAATTATGCAAATATGTTTTAAAGCATGAAAATCGTCAATTTTAGGGGGCCGCGTTAGCCGAGTGGTCATCGTGATAGACTCACCATCCCGCGGTGTTGGGTTCGATTCCCGCCGCCAGCTCCTGGCCCTTTTTTTCACGCGACCATTACACCCAGATAAGAATTTTTCACATTTGATATCACGTTCCTTCGTTAATATGCAAATTTCATAAGGCCACTTAAAAAAATATAATAATAATTAAAAAAGTGAACAGTTAATCTTCGTGAGATGTTAGGTGGTATGGTAATTTTATTTGTCAATGGTAGTTTGACAGTTTGGATCGTTTTGGTTATCCTGTCGTAACTATCGTTTGCTCTGTCAGGCGCGTTTCAGCCATTTAATATTTTCATCAGTTCTGATTTTGAACGCATTCACAAATGAAGATTTTGGAAAGGCAAAAAGTTCTGACAGGCAGATCAGGACAACAACATCAAGTTAAAAGAAGAATTGAGGTTCAATATTTAATTTCAGAAATTTTATATAAATGAGAACTAAATTGTCATCTAGAATTAATTAGTCGGTTCAAGTAATTAAAAAGAGTACTTACTCGCATGGTGGGGATTGCAGAGGGGGCATATCTCGTTGGTGAACATGCAAGAGTAGCATCTTTCGTGGCCGCATGTGTCGATCAGCTTCCTCTTTTTACCTTTGTCAAACGGCATTTCGCAGCTGGGGCACGTCTCACTCGGCTCTTCGGCTTCTAAAAGTTTTCTGATAGCCGCGAGATCTGGAAAAAGTAAAAGAGAACGTTACATTAATTAAGGAGAATTTTTCAACCACGAGACTTACTGATACATGACAGACGGTCGAAGATTTTCTTTAAAAATTTCGACTTGAACATTTTCCCTCTTTAAAAAAGCGCACGTGCGTGAAGGCTTTCCGTGAGCAAATGAGACTAGAAACTGCGAACCGAAATTTACATGTTAAGTGCCGCGAACAAGTCAACGACATGCTCATGCACGCTTGCAGCGGGTGGCCGATCGGTACCATACATTATTGATGTCCGAATTAATACGATTAAACAAATTTTCAAATTTTTTGTTGTGTTTGTTTTTTTCTTAATACATCGATCCAGCCAATAATGTTAAACACGAGAGATTTCCATTCCTCGGATTTTCACTAGTCACATCGGACGATGAAGGAAGCCGTGGGTCGAGGTGCATGTTAGAGCATGCCCCATTCCGAGCAATTACCGTTTCGCCGTAAAGCATTCCAAAGTGCTTTTTGATCGGATGTTGCTCATGCAAAGTCGGAAATACCGAGAGAAGTACATACATACTTATCCGGCGTTGCTTCATTAATGAATTTCACGATAGCCTTGTTCTAATTCCATTCTTTCATGCCGGTCATAAAATAACCATGATCGATACAATTTAGTGAAAATAATGCTCGTTGGCATTTAATATTAGAGGTGTTTAATAATACAAGCCTTTCATTTTATAACGAACGTATAGTTTGTCACACTTCAATTTATCTTGTAATTATCATGATTTTCCTGTTTAATTAATAATTTTGTTTTTTCAACGTTTTAATTAATTCGTATTATAAAAGGCACCTGATCAGCTTGTAATCAGGTCTGATCAAGATCTCGGGCGCTCTGTTTCTTAATCTGGATTCAGAATTGGGCCCGTCTTGTTTGGATCGAGAAACAACCGATGCAACGCTATGCGAGGCTACCCGACGCCTTGTCACGTTTTGGTAGGCTGTGCACATCTATGCGACGTCAAGCGCACGCCACGTACAGTCACACAGCGTGATCACAATAATCACTATCACAATCGCAACGCCTCTTTTGTTTTTATTTAATTAATTTGAGCAAAACCTTGTAATAAATTGTTAGTTAAACTTAATTGTTTTAAATAAAGTTATTCCGGCGTTTTGATAAATTTTCTTCCTAACCATCATAATTAAATAAATCTTATAAAAACATGAATTTTTGAATTCGTTTAATTTGGTTTACATTAAAATAGGAATGTTGTAATAATAACAACGACAAAATTACATATACTTAGTTTGAAATAAACTACAAAAAATATGAGTGTCCCGTTCTGAAGCTTCGACGAAAATGGTGTTTTTATGAGCAAAACCATGAAATAAATTGTTAGTTAAATTTTATGAGCAAAACCAAGAAATAAATTCTTAGTTAAATTTTATGAGCAAAACCATGAAATAAATTGTTAGTTAAATTTTATGAGCAAAATTGTGTAATAAATTGTTAGTTAAATTCATTATATCAAAAAATAGTATTCCGGTGTTTTGATCAATTTTCTACCAAACCATTAAAATTATTATTATTTTTATTTTTTAAAATAAAAACTAAAGAATTTTTGATCTCCGTTAATTTGGTTTATAAGTATGTTAAATAAGTATGTTGTAATTAATGACAAAATTATATATACTTAGTTTGAAATAAACTATAAAAAATATGAGTGTCCTGTTCTGAAGCTTCGACGAAAATGGTGTAATTTTATGAGCAAAACCATGAAATAAATTGTTAGTTAAATTTTATGAGCAAAACCGTGTAATAAATTTTAGTTAAATTCATTATATCAAAAAATGGTATTCCGGTGTTTTGATCAATTTTCTACAAAACATTAATTTTAAAAAAAAATAAAAACTAATGAATTTTTGATCTCGGTTAATTTGGTTTATATTAAAATAAGTTTGTTGTAATTAATATAACGACAATAATGCATATAGTTTGAAATAAAAATATGATTGTCCGGTTTTTTTTGTCTTCGACTGTACTCGATGCTACCCTACAAAAATCTGGACAGTGGGAATCGCAGAGCATCGAGCCCATAGCATAGGGCAGATGCGCACGGAGGTAATACTATCTTATGGAAAATTGAACTTTGGATTTGCATCGGGTAGCGTCGCGTAGCATTGCATCGGGTAAGTGTGATCCCCGCTTAACACATGTATAGCGACTGGCTCATTTTTTGCCAGCTGGCCAAAATTTTTTTTTATGGCTTAAATTCATACTTAATTCATACTTCAATTTATATTTTGTACACTTTTTAAGACAGAATCTCTCGACCATATACAATTTATACAAATGTACTTATTTTACTCTATATTTATACAAAGTTTATTGATAGTTTATGAGACAAAATTTTGTAAAACTGCGCTAATAAAGGCAATCGAATTATTTTTTTTAATTGGATTGTTTGGGCCTATTTTCAGCCATTTCGATTTGTACTAGTTTCGGCGTATAATTTATACATAATGCAATTGGTAAATCGTTATTTTCACAATTTTGGTTGAGGTCTAAGGGATGTACCTGTAGTTTTTTCTATTTCGTACTATCCCCTGCCCATCCTCGCTGGTACTGACATTATACTGTCGTCTTCGGTATGTCTATCTTATTTTTGGATCAATAATTAAAACGAGTTTGAATGATCAACAGATCGAAGTTGGACAGACCGGGATGTATCTAAAATGGCCAAACTACATAAAATATTTTTTCATTTTTTCCTCCAGAATTCTAGAGAATCCGCGATACTGCTCAAAGGGGATAATACGAAAAAGAAGGAGAATCAATAACAAAATTACGTAAAAAACCGGCACTGAAGTTATCGATTTACCCGCTTCCGCTTTACGCCATTTTCACTGGGCGGAAACAATCGAACAACAAATAAACGTTTTACATTTTTTTAATTATATCTCCTGGGTCTGTTCTTTTACCCGGGTTGAACTATTAAAACCATTTTTATTTTATGTAGTGTGACTAGGCGTGTAATAAATTCGATATTCTTCGAGTTTAGCACTAAAAGGTGCCATGATATCATTGCTGCCGAGCGCAGCATACTTGAGTTTGACTTTCATGCATAGTTACAATTCTCGTGCATGGAATAGATACTGAGGATAAAACTGTTGATTTCTTGCCTCATAATGGTATCCAGCATTATATGCGATGTTACGGCCGATAAACAAATAAGATTTAAGAGGGATTATTATAAAAAATTTAATTATTATAAAGAATCAACTAGCTCTCTGTTGGTCTTGCAAGACCTTTTTTATAAAAATTCATTGGACTGTATGTTTTCTTTTAAACGAAAATTTGAATTTTATTTGGCAAGGACCAACGGTATCTGCCCTATCACGCGATATTGTGTTATCGGACACGAAATGACTTGTGTAAGCTAATCAATCAGACGAAAATTGGAGATGCAATGGAAAAGAGCGTCGAGTAACCATAGGAGTAACAAAGGTACTTGAATAAAAGGGAGTAAAATTTGTTACAATTTTTTTTCCATATTGGGCCAAGCAATACACAACTACAAATTACAGTGCTGTCGAACTTAACAATAGTATAAGCTTCTAATCCATTTATGTTTTAGTGGTCAAGTGATTAAGTTATTTCTTTCAATTAATTATTATTTTTATGTAAGGTCTTGGTTGAGATAAAAAAGGTCAGTGTCACTAAATACGCCGCTGGTCTACCACTTGAGCTAACGTGATTTCGATCATCTCGGAACCAACTCTCTGGAGAGAGGATCAAAGTCAGATGGTAGAGCAGCGGCGTATTTAGCCGAAGGTCGTGGGTTCGAATCCTGCTCGTGATATTAACTTTTTTTTATCTCAACCAAGACCTTACATAAAAAGAATAATTAATTGAAAGAAGTAACTTGGTCAATTGATCACTGAAACATGAATGGATTAATATTTAATAAGTAAAAGAAGTACCACTTCACTAACAGCTCCCCGTGACCACTTTATAAGTCCTGAGAATCGACTCTTGATTACACGACATTGAAAATGGCAAAAAGAGGGAAACGTCGAACGGTTGTAGGTTGACATGGACAGTTGATGTCCGAGAGGATCGAAGTCACGATACCTCATCTGGTAGAGCACCGGCGTGTTTAGCCGAAAGTCGTGGGTTCGAATCCCATTCATGACACTGACTCTGACTTTTTTTATCTCAACCAAGACCGTACATAAAAAGAATAATTAATTGAAAGTATAAGCTACATTAATCACTATAATTATGTCGAGAAGTACGTTCGTATTCTCTTGTTCAAAACTTAAAAAAAAATTGGTGAACCTAAAAAAACTGTCGAAATTAAGGTCCACCAATTTTTCGGTGGTTATGGATATCGAATATTAAAAGACTTAAGTTATTTTCATTTTAAGCTGTATGATCCATTAACAGAAAAGATCCCCATCACATTTATATATTTAAAAAGTATTTATTTTAAGTTTTTTAAAACAACTATTTTAAAAATAAGGGGCGATTATGTCGGGTTTAATATAGTTATAAAAAAGGTCTATAACTTCATTATTATGTTTAATTCACTACTTTATTTTATATTTATGCATTATTAGGTGGTGCCAGTTAGTAAATGTAATTGCAATTAGCGTAATTTCCTTGATATGACAACAGCATAGGGGAGTATTAAACACGAGAGCATTCACTTGATAAAGCAATTGGTATGCAAATGAAAAGGGACAAGCGATTATCTCATTTCCCCTCATTAGCTTTAATTATAAACTCTACTTAGCGGAAAAGTCAACAGAGAAATTTTGTTGGAGGGCGAGTTATAATTTCTTTTTATAGGAGCAATGTGCTAATGACGAATTCCGATCTTGTATGATGCCGCTAATAGCTATAATCGGCCGACGCCAGTTTTCATTCAACGTGGGATTATTATTATTGTTACATGGACGCCTTTGACTGGAAAACGTGGGAAGAAGCTATTTTATTTTGTTCCGTACTGACGAACC